TGAGGAGATACGCGCCCGTGATGAAATCCTGCGTCGCAGCAATCAGCGGCTTGCCATTGCACGGCGTGCACAGGTTGTTCGTGGTCTGACGAAGCAGCAACAGATGTGATGGGATGGATGCGTGGTGAGGTGACCGCACAGTGCCGTGAAAGAGACGTGAGGGTTTGGGTGTTGAAAGGCGGGTGAACGGAAAGAATTGTCCACAAAAGTCCAGAGCCCCAAACACTCACAAAACAAGATACGAAAGCAACTGTCAACAACAACAAGCACACACACCACCACCACCACCACTTCCACCACGTGTGTGTGTGTGTGTGTGTGTGCTTGTGTGTGTGTGTGTGCTTGTGTGTATGTGCAGTGCGCCGACTCACGAGCATGAGCTCTGCGGCCTCGGCGCGCGCCTCCTCCGTCTGCGGGACGTGAAGATTCATCTCATCGCCGTCGAAATCGGCGTTGTACGGCTTGCACACGCACTCGTTGAAGCGGAACGTGCGCCACGGTCGCGGCTTTGCCTGCAGGGGCAGACGAGTGGATGTGTGCAGAGGGATGTGGACACGAGAGAGTGTGTATGCGGATGAGTATGTGTGTGTGTGTGTTTGTGTGGAGGTGCAGAGGTGATTGAGGCATTTCATTGAGTCTTGAACACCACCACCACCAACATCACCAACCACCCAATACCAACACCATCAAGACGAGCAACACCACTGCCAACATTCAACAGCAGCATGCACGCACCTTGTGGCACATGATGCTCATGCGATGGAGAGATGGCTGGCGGTTGAAGAGGACGTAATCCCCCTCAAGAAGATGGCGCAGGACTTTATCGCCGATGCTCAGATTGCGCGCAAGCTGAAAAGACAATGCACGGCATGCACAGTTGGTGGGAGTGAGTTGGCGAGTGGTAGTAGTGAGTGAGTGGTGTGAGTGTGCTGAATGGGTGGTGAATGGGTGGTCGATGAGAGAGTGAGTGGTGTGATTTCTCATGGTGCATGTTCACGATGCAAG